GCATGGTGGCGCGCCCCTGTAATCCTAGCATTTGGGAGGCTGAAAACAGGAGATTCAGTCTGATCGGTGTAGTGAGACCCTGTAGACCTTTAGACCCTGTCCTAAATACATTAAAAAAAAAAAAGAAAGAAAAAGCACTTGATAAAATTTAACATCCTTTCATGATAAAAACATTCAATAAAGTAGGAAGAGAAGAAACCACTCTTAATGTGATAAAAACCACATACAAAAACCCAAAGATGACATCATATGCTGGTGGAGGGTTGAATATTTCTCTTTCCTGTTTTTAGTGTGGAGTTATAGAGATTGAATCCAGGTTCATGTACATGGAAAGCAAGTACTTTACTACTCATCCACATACGTCCCAGATCCTTTTCATTACTTCTTTTTATTCTAAGACCAATAATTGTCCAGGCTGGCTTTAAACTTGTAGTCTTCCTACCTCAGTTTCTGATGCAGCTAAGATTATAGGAGAGTACCACCATGCCCAGAGGGAAGGCTTCTCTAGTAAGATCTGGAACAAGACAGAGATGCCCCATTTCATTTATACAAAGTTCTAGAACTTCTAGCTAGAGCAATTAGAAAAGAAAATAGACATGAAAATGGGAAATGGAGAGCAGCTTTGACAGTTTGCATGTGTAGTTCCAACAACTTGGGAGCCTGCCACAGAACTACTTGAGCTCAGGAATTAGAGCTATCCTGGGCAACATAACAAGAACCCATCTCAAAACAGATATGTTTGCTGATCACATGATTTTGTATGTAGAAAACCTAAGACTATATGCATACAGATATATACACAGTTGCATACCTCTTAAACCTAATGCAATAATACAGCAAAGTTACAGGTCATAAAATTGATACATAAAACTTATTCATGTTTATAAATACTAATAAAGAACAATAAAAATTAAGAAGATAATTGCATTTATATCAGCATTAAAAGGAATAAAATACTTAGGAACACATTTATCAAGACGCCAAGAGACTTGTAATTGAGTGTAGTAGTACTTGCTTGTAATCCCAACACTGGGAAGCTGAGGCAGGAGGACTACCATGAGTTTGAGGTCAAGCTGGTTACATAGCAAGACCCTGTCTCAAAAATCAAAGAGGGGCAGGGTACTTGTAACTGAAAACTACAATTAAATGGGAAGACATTCTGTGTTCATGGACTGGAAATCAGATAGTTCAGATTATAATATAAATCAAAATAATTTACAGATTTAAAGTGATCTCTACTCAAAATTCAATAGAGGTTGTTTTGCTTTTGCTGAAATGGAAGATCCCATCACAAAATTCATGGAATCTCAAGAAAACTTGAATAGCCAAATTAATCTTGAAAGAGAAAAGAGTTGGAATAGTCATTTCCTGATTTCACAATAGGCATGGTAAACAGATTTTTGGTAAAAGTGCCAAGACCATTCAATGGCGACAGGTCAGTTCTCTCAATGAGTGGTCCTGGCAAAACTGTATCTACAAGAAAAAGAATGATGTCAACCCTTCCCCTATATCATAAAAAAATTAACTTGGTCAGAGACCTAAAAATAAGAGCTAAAAGTGTAAAGTTCTCAACAGAAAATATATGGGAGAAAAACTTTAGAAATCTGGCTTTGAAGGTGATTTATTGCATATTATACCAAAACTGTAAGGACCAAAAGCAAAAGCAAATTTGAGTTTACCAAAACAAATCTATTTATGTTGTGTCAAAGGACTATTAAGAGGGCAAAAAGACAACATGTAGACTGGGAAAATCAGTTAATCATTTATCTGGTAAGTAACTGATAGCCAACATATAAAAAGAGGGGCTGGTAACATGGCTTGGGGCTGGTAAGATGGCTCAGTGGTCTAAAGCACCTACTTAAAACAAGCTTAGCAAAGCACAGGGACCACGGTTCAATCCCCTAGCACCACATGCCAGCCCGCCCCGCCCCCTGGTGGGCTTGGCTGGCCACACACACACAAAATAAATAAATAAATAAATAAATAAATAAATAAAAACATATAAAAAGAACTCATACAACTATATAAAAAGTACTCATACAACTTCAAAAACAGCTCAATTAAAAGGTGGGTGAAGGACTTGAATAGACTTGTCTCCAGAGAACTTATAATAATGGCTAATTAGCCCATGAACGGATGTCCAACATGACTAATATTAGGCAAATAAAGAGGACAAGGAGACAGTATTTTACATACAGTAGGACGGCTAATGCAAAAATTATGCAAAAAATCCTCACAAGAGTTGGCAAGGACATGGAGATATTGAAACCCTTGAAGCACTGCTGGTGGAAATGTAAAATGGTGCAACCACTGTGGAAAAGTTTGGTGATGCCTCACAAATTTAAATGGATTTTCCATGTGATCCAGCAATTCCTATGGTTCAGCAAAGAACTTAAAGGAAGAACTCAGAAACTTCTATGTCAATGTTCATAGTAATGTTATTCACAATATCCAAAAGGCAAAAGCAATGTAAATGTTTATCAAAGAATATATAAGCATAGAGAAGTATTTAGCCTTAAAAGGATTAAAATTTTAATACATACTACAACATATATGAAACTTGAAAATCTTTATGCTAAGTAAAATAAGTCAAGACATGAAAATATAGTATGATTCCACTTATGTGAGTTAATTATGGAGACAGTAGAACTAAGATTACTTTCTACTCTCTGTTGGGAGAGTGGGGAAAAGGAAATGCAGAATTACTTAATGGATAGAGTTTCAGTATGGGATAACAAAAACTCTGGAAATCAATAATTGTACAATATGAATGCATTTAATCCACTTAAAAGTGGTTGAGAACAGATTTTATGTTATATATATTTTTCAATTTTAAAATAGCTACAATCCTTTTGGAAGGATATTTAGAAATACCTAAATAAAATATATGTGGCTTACTTTTTGACCAAAGAATCTTATACATATAATATTATTTATTATAATAGTCTGTACTTGGAAGAATATTGGGAATATATATCCACAAATGAGACTGAAGATGGTACATATAATGTTCTACTCTGCAGCTACAAAAAATAAGGGCAAGAACTATAAGTTAAAATCAAATTATTTCTAGGATATATTGTTAAAAATGCAAAGTGTAGAAGAGTATAATGATGTTCCTTTCATGAAATAAAAAAGGGAAATTGAGAAAATACACACATGTCTTCATTTCTACAAAAACAACAAAATGCAAAGAATGAGAAAAAAGAACTGAAACAGCAGAGAAGAATATTTTTCAAGTATTTCTCTTTGCACAGTTTGCGGGGAATAACAGTCATGTTCTAAGTACCCTAAAATAAAAATAGCTTAAAGTAACTAGGATATTACAGGAGACACATAAAAAATATAAACAGTCACAAACGAATCTAAGTGTCAGGTTTTTTACATAATATAAAGGGCTCTAGAGCTGGGGCAGGGAACCACAGCTGTGGCTGGTTCATCCAGTGCTGCCTGAGAGTAAGGGATTAAAAAAGTACTAATTAGGCACACTGAAAGGACACAGGAGGGAAGCTTCCAATGGCCACAGTTTAGGCAACAAAATGTTAGTATTCTACAATTATTATAGTATAATAGAATAAACAAGTACTCATGAGTTCATATGGATAAAATAACTGAATAAGTAAATGAGGGGGAAAATAGCTCTTTTATACAAGTACCCTAAAATAAAAAAAACTTGATTTCAGCAGAATTTCAATTTATGTACATGAAAGGATGGTAACTAAAAAATCATCATTAGTTTAACACAAAAGTAATAACTGGGGTGTTACAAATAGGAATCATCAATGGATACTAAAGACTGAGAGGAAGGATACAGTTTTAGAATTATTAAACAGAAAAAGAAACAGCTTTTTTACACTAGAGAAAACTGGTAGAGAACACCTCAGTGAAATGTAGAAGTGACAGAAGTTAATACTTCCAGCAATAAGATAAATCAATACTATGCACCCCTACTCCACTGACATGAAGCACTGAGAAAGACACAACACCATTTTTGAACTATTCTTGATGGAACACATATCCTTAAATGAGTATGTGAGAGAACATCAGACAGATGGGTAGACCTGTACCACCTAACCAGCGAGTACTCTTCACATGTGCCAAGATTATGAAGCCCAAGGGAGACAGTAGCTGCCACAGACAGAAGAGACTAAGGATCTTGACACAAGAATGCAATGTGGGAAAATAGGTCATGAAAAGGCATTAAAGGCAAAGCTAGTGACACCTGCACAAGGTCTATACATTAGTTAATAATATTGTATCAATGTTAAGTTTCATTTTTGTTTTGTAAGATGATAATTTTAGGGTTATGTGAGTAAAGGTCATGTGGGAATTTATAACTTTCTGTAAATATAAAGTTATTTTTTTTTAGTTGAAAAAAGAAAACAACATATCCAAATTTTTGGTGCCCATAGTTTTGTGGATTCATAATTACTCACAATGCTGAACACCATTATTCATTATTTTATCTTAAAATTAGAAAATTTTGGGCTGGCCAAATAGCTAAGTGGATTAAAGCACCTGCAAGCAGATGCAGGGGCCACAGATTCAATCTGCCAGCCTACTGTGCTGGCCCCACCACCGGGGTGCACTGAGATGGCAACTGAGACTGGGCATGGTGGTGCTTTCTTGTAATTCCAGCTCTTGGGAGGCTGTAAACACGTGGATCACTATGAGTCCGATCTAGTAGTGAGACCCTGAACACCCTGTAGACCCCCAAAATAAAAAAAAATTTTTTTGAAAGAAAATATTATATCTCCACATTCTCTAGTCCCTATCCCTAATTTGTTTGTATCATAAGAGTGATGTTGTGTTACAATATATTTGCTAACACAGTATTTTCACCCATGACAGTTCTTGAAAATAGGGACCAATGGTTACTCATTTCTACATGCTGTGACCTTGTGACAAGGCCTTCTTCTTACAGTCAATGCTCATGGAGTATATTGTGAATGAATGAGAGTACATAAAAGATCTCAGTGCTATAGAAATTATGTACTTACGTTCCACAAAGGAAGTAAAGAGCATTCTAAACCTGCTAAGCCGACTACCTTCATCTGCCCACATCCGTATCACTCCAACTCCTGTTTTGAGCATTACATCATTGGCCACAGTGCTGCAAAACTTGGCTTTCAGATTTTCAATAGCACTGCTTCCATCATAGACTGCAACGAAGTTTCTCTTGCATTCATTTGAGTGCTCCATTTGATAATCTAAAAATCTCAAATAAATCTGTAAAATTAAAAAATACTGCTTTAAAATCCCTTTTTCCCCTACTTCTCAATGTTCATAGTGTACATATCAGATTGAATTACAATAGCTGAGAGAAAACAAAACACAAAAACTTGATGCCTAAACAGTTTAAGATCTAAGACTAATGGTCTGTTTCTTTGTCTTAATAATGGAACCAAGCATTAAGGCATGTAAACTTTTAATTTTATCTACAAAGAGAATAAGCTTTCACATTTTATATTTTCCTCATAAAAACCACCTTAAGGATCATTCATAACTTTATTATTTTAATAATCAGTGTGTCCATTTTAATTTTTCTACCTAATTTAAAATCAGAGTTTATAGGTTATGTAAAAACATGTAGCTCCTGCTTTTGCTGGAACACAACAGAAATATTATGCTCTTTATAACAATTCAACCCCCACAATGTCCTCTCATTTACTTGACCATTTTTCTATTTTTTGTACACTTAAATTGTTTTAAGATTCACTCCTTAACTTTTTCTACATTATCAGACAAAGTAAAGACCATTAACATCTTCTTTATATAAAATTTAGAGGCAGTTTACTAATTAAAATATATATGGCTCATTCTTGTTCAAAGATATCCTTTACTTCTGTACCTGTGGGTTTAGAAGGAATTTAAACATCAACCTATAAAAGAACCCACTTATCAAAACAGGTACTGTTTCCATCATGAGAGATTCAGGAACTTGTCCAGGGTTCTTCTGGGTCAGGGTCTGAACTCAGTTCATCTTGACTCTATGAAGTATTTTTCATTCCATGGATGGGTTCCCTTACATGTGTCCTTGTGCACATACATTCTATTTTTTGGACCTAGTGGTGTATGTGTGATACTACAACTAAAATTTTACTGAGTACATCATAACATCTTCCACTGAATTTGCTACTGAAGACATCAAATAGGTACTCTTGTTACTTTTGATTTAAAAGGCTTAGTAAAACAAAAACAGTCCCCTCTAAAATTGATGGCATAAAAACACAATTAAAAATATAGTTCAAATTTTGACTAACTTTATCTGAAACCACCAGTTTGACATTTCTACAAGCATAGTGGGAAATAAGTAATGAAATAGATTTGCCATTCTAAATGATACAAGATCTTTGTGAATGTGTTCTAACCTTTGGGCAGCATGTTTTTGAAAACAGGTTCTATGGTGACAGATAATACAGTATTTTTCTCTCAGACTGTAAGGTCTTCCAACTAGAGACTTTTGGTACACCCTACCCAGTGTAATTGTTGCACACAGTGGGTAGAGTGACTAGATTTGTAAACTATAGATTGGTAGTACTAAATATTGGTAAGACCATCAAAATGTTTGAAGTTATTTACTTTCTGCTTTTAATACAAAGAAACATGGTTATAAGCAAGTCAACAGTAAATACTCTTCAAAGGCATTTTTATTTTTAGAGTTAAAGGAAAACTATGACCATATAACATTTCTGTTGTGACCACAACTGAATACTCTAGTTGTTTAGTTCAACCAATTTTTAGAAAATATTGTTAGCAATATGAATGGGACGAAATGTGGAAGGCACAAAGTACTCACACTCCAGGTGTTATGAAAAGACATCTTGTATTAGAAACCCTTGACCTCTTATCCTATGCTTGTGTGCCAAACAGGGGGGTGGAAAGTTACTAGAATAGGGCCGGTGAGATAGCTCAGCAGACTAAGTGCCTGCTTAGGCAAGCACAGAGACCAACGTTCGATCCCTGGCAGCACATGCAGCACTGGCCCTGCTCCGGGGCACACTAAGCCAGTCACCAAGACTGGGTGTGGTGGTGCATGCCTGTAATCCCAGTGCTGGGGAAGCTGAAACAGGAGGATCGTTATGAATCCGAGCTGTGTAGTGAGATCCTGTAAAAAAACAACAACAAACTGTCTATGTATGTATGTATGTATGTATGTATGTATGTATGTATGTATCTATCTATCTATCTATCTATCTATCTATCTATCTATCTATCTATCTGTATCTCCCGGGGATCAAGGGGGAGAGTTTGGTCTCTTTTCCTGGACAAATATGTACAAATAGAAATCTGAATCCCTCTCCTTGGAGTGGAATGGTCTAGTCTTGACTTGAGGTGAAACTAGTGGGTAGAGCAAGACACTTGACAGTCTCATCAAGCCGATTCCCTTCACCTAGCCTCAGTTTACTGTAAAAAGGACTACTTTGAATCTCTTTATGTTGACAGGTATTACAGTGGATTTAGATACTTTCTCCAATTGGTTCCAAACTCTAGTAGTGAAAAGAATTGCTAGTGTTTTGGAATTTGAGAAGATCTCAACAACGGTGAAATGAAATCCTAGAAATCTACTCCCATTATGGAAAGGACACTGATGAAAACAGTAAAACAGTTTTGTATATTTATCAGTACATTTTAATAAATTACCTTCTGTGTTTATGTAAGTACTCTGAATGTTTTCCTTGAATATCACCGATTAACTAGTTTGTTTCATCTTGGGTGTGCAAGGATTATGGTGGCTTTTTTTTTTTTTTCCTCTGAACATCTTTGTGCATTTAGCACTGGGGATGGGAATGAGGTTCAGTGACAAAATATGCATGCATGAGGCCTTGGGTCTGATCCCCAGTACTTCAGAGCCAATCTACCTACCCACTCACCCACCCAAAAAACCCATCACCATGAGCACACCACAATATTGGGCTGTTTGTGTTCTTGAGTTTGGGGTTCTGTCTCAAACTAAAAAGGATCCTCTTGCCTCAACCTCTCTTCTCTTTCACAGAGAAAACTTACTTTCTACCAAATACTGTATAAGTTTACATTTTTTAATGATGTTTTAATTTTTGTGTAAGATATAAGGTATACGTAAAGTTATTTTAAAATTTTCCAATATTGGTATCAAATTGTTCTATTCCTATCTGTTGAACACTCCTTTTCCCATTGAACTGCCTTTTATCTGTTAAAACCAACTAATGATACTGTATAAATCTCTTGTTTGGGCTTTTTCTTCTCTCCCACTGACCTATTTTTGTCCTCTTGTCAGTATCTCACTGTCTTGATTACTGAAGCTTTATGGTAAATGCTGAAATCAAGTGATCAGTCTTCCACCTTTACTCTTTTTCAAAAATTATTTTGGGCTTTATAACTCACCTGTTATTTTTATTTTTTTTTTTTTTTCTTTTTGAGACAGGGTCCTGCTATGCAGTTCAGGCTGGCCTTGAGCTCACTTGCAGCCAAGGTTGGTCTCAAACTCACAAGGATCCTCTTGCCTCTGCCTCCCAAGTACTATAATTACAGGCATGTGCCACTATGCCCAGTCACTAAGTTCTAAATTAGTTCCATAATACTTAAAAAATATAACTGAGAATGTTTTTTTTTTTTTTTTGAGACAGGGTCTCACTACATAGTTCATGCTAACTTTGAACTCATTTCGTAGCTCAGGCTGGCCTTGAATTCATGGTGATCTTCTTGTCTCAGTTTTCTGAGTGCTGGGATTATAAGGGCACACCACCATGCCCAGCAATGATGAGTATTTTGATGAAACTGTCTTCAACCATATGAATCAATTTTGGAAAAAAAATAAATTTTAGTATTGCACAGACTATCAATATGCATACTTGGTGCATCTTTCTATTTGGATTGGTCTTTGGATGTTTTCATCAGGGGTCTATATGTTTCAGTTTATAGATGGTATGTGCACTTCTTAATGGGGAATGATTTTAATTTATTTATTTGGTACAGAGTCTCACTATGCAGCTTGGACTTATAATGATCCTTCTGCCTCAGCCTCCCCAGTGCTGGGATTACAGGCATGCACCACCACATCTGGTTTCCGTGGCCAGCATGGCGTGCCCGGAATGGCATGCAGTACTGGTGACTGAATTTGACACCTTATGCTTGCTAGGCAGGTGCTTATGCCACTGAGCTATCTTCCAAGCCCTGGGGAGTGAGTTTTAAATGGTACTGTTTTCTCAAGTTTGAACTCCAGTTGGTATTGCTAGTATACAGTGATATAAAAAATTTTGGTATGTTGAAATAAACTTATTTGTTCCAGGAGCATTTTTGGATAGATTTTTAAATATAAACACTCAATCACATTACATAAAAATATTTTATTTTTTCCTTTTTAATCTGTATAACTTTTTGGTCTGGACTGCACATTTTATTAAATTGGTTTTTACATGATTCCATTTGATCCTCACAACAACCTTGTGAGGTAAGCAATATCAGTTTATCGATAATGAAATTACAAGGATAATATAAATTTACTTTCTAGATAATGAAGTTAAACGGGTTAAGTGACTTTTCCAGCTAGCTAGTCAGAAGCAGAAACAGAATAATTATTGCCTTTAAGTTGAGGTTCTTTTCTCTAAACCTCATAGCTTCTGAGAGTATAATTTTATATATGACACTTATTTTCTAGAAAGTGATAGAAAAGTGATAATATAAAATTATATAACTTATTTACAAATTATATAAACATAAACATACTATGATAGATTAGAATTAATTTGGTACGCTGTAACATTATAGAAGCAAACTTAAGGAATTCAACATGGCCAGCTCTTGGTGCAGAAATATTTATACATTGCCCTCATTCTTGAATCACAGGTTAGAGAAGGAAATGTAGGTTATTAGTCATTTTTTTTTTTTTGGATAACGATTTGAACACAGTATCCTATTGTCTTTGCGCTTTTATTCTTCTTCAGATAGTTCTGATACTAATCTTTTTTTGGGGAACTCTGGGGGTTAAACCTGAGGCCTTTTAATTGAGGTACATACCAGCCTTTAAAATTTTATTTTAGACAGGCTTTTACTAAGTCATTAAGTTGTGGGTGTTGGGCTCAAAACTTTTTTTGGGGGGCAATAATTAAATAGAATTTGACTTTTGGAATTTCACATGTAATTCTTTCAATTCTCATCAAGGTGACCTTATTAAGGAGACTCTCCAAGTTAGCTCTTTAAAAAAAAAAAACAAAACAACTGATGCTTAATCTAGTCATTTTATCTGCCCTGCTACACTTCATTTACTTCTATTTGAATTATGTACAATGACAGTTTCAAAATTTCTTAGATCCAAATTTCTTCCACAAATTTACATGGGCTTAAACTTTTGATCCCCCCTCCTCAATTTCTCAGAATGCTGGGATTACAGTGGTGTGCCATATCAGACTTCATCAAATCTTTTAATAACTGTATGTCTTATTTATAGATCTATTTGATTGTTAAAAAGTATACTTAATCATTTTCTTTCCCATCTTTTTGTTTCTTGCAGGATATCTAATATATTTAAATTCTTAGAGACCTAAGAAACTTCTTTCTGTTGGTCTGCTTACCTGATGGGTGAGTTGTGAGGACAGATTGCTTCTAATTTGAGATTCTGAGGTTTTCAGTGGTGATTTATTAGTGCCAAACCTGAAACCACATGGTCATTTTGGATTTATATCTGCTAGATGCCTTAAAGGTTTTATGAGACCATTATCATTTTGTTAATTTTTGGGTTTAGCAGCTCCTGGATTGAACATGAAATGTAGATTCATATCCCAAACACAAAAGTAAGCTTTTAGGTATATATAGTGTTAGAGGAGATCCCAGCTCTCCTCCACCCACTTCTAAGAACTAAAACCAGAAAAAATATGTTTCCTTGTCAGTGACATGTGTTAGTATAATTCTTTTCCTAATTACCCTGTTCGTGTCAATCTTTTTTTTTTTTTTATGGTTCTAGCTTTATTTAAGGAAGTTTCATGAGTGCTAGCTTCTTTTTCTTTCCTCTCTCAATGTGGGTGTTCAAGTTTCTGCTATGTTTACACTTGGGCAATAATAGGCTATTGAAGTTATCCAGGGGCATTGGTAACATCAATTTCAGTTTATTACTGTAATTTATAGTTACCTTTCTTCATTTGTAGTATATGCTCTTAAAAAGCTACTTGTTAACTTTTGCCCAATGTTTCTAAGTGCAACCTGGTGGGTTTTCTGGTATTTAATCTCTAGTCTTACCTTAACCATAAACCTGATTTTTATGATTCCTTCAAAGTACATTCTTCACTCTTTGTTTTTCTTCAACACGTGTATGTAGGGTGATCAAAATGTATGATGAATGTTTAAATAATCCTCAAAATATTCACTTTTTACTTCAATCATGCATATCTCATTGCTCTTTGTAATGTTTTTTACTGCACTAAGTTTTAAAAATTTAAACATTCATTGTATTTGTTAATCAGCCCTTGTATATACTAAAACCAATTTTAACTAGAGGTATAAATTAAAAGCAAAAATAGCAGTGCATCTCAATGTGTCAGAATAATTTAAAAATGTTTCTCTACAATACTTTTTAATAAGTACATGGTCAGTGACTCTATATGCTGAACAGTGAGTACACAGAAATAGGCTCAAAGTATTTGTATTTTTTGAAACAACTATAAGTAGCATTGTTTCCCTGACTTTTTTCTCAGCTATCAGTTCATTATGGTATATAGATTAGTTCCTTTTTTTTTTGCAGTCCTGGTGATGGAACTCAGGATCTTGCACTTGCCAGGCAAGCACTTATTCTACTGAACTAGCTCCCCGGCCCCATCGTGATATATAGAAAAACTACTGATTTTTTTTTTTAAATCAGTAAAATAGTTTAATATACTTTAAATAACTACTGATTTTTAAATGTTGATTTTGTATCCTGTCAACATGTTTATGTCTTGCACTGTTATGACCAACTCCATGACCTTCAAGAAGACAAGCCTCGATTTTATGGAGACTTTGTTAAATAAGGTCTCACTCTGTGGCCCAGGCTGACCTTGAACTCATGATCCTACTGCCTCTGCTTCCACTAAGTAGCTGGGATTAGGGGAACATTCTACTGTGCCTGGCTAATTTTTAAAACAATAGTATCAATTTATATAGTCAAGGAATATTGCCATGAACCCAAAATTAACAAGTACACAAGCCATGTCATATTATGTTATTTGAAATGACTAAATACACAGCAATACCTTAGCTTTTGGAGTAGCTTTAATTGTCCAAATGCAATCAACTGCTTGGCCTGGTTTTGTTTTCTCTTCTTGTTCTACCTGACTGGAACGCACTATTCCATCAGCTCCTGATAGCTCAAACTGGCAATCTAGAAAGAATAAATGAATGATGTTCAAAGGAAAATAAAACTGATCAAAAATACCATGGGGAAAAAGAGGTAATATACTAAACCTGGGATAGGATTTAAAATACCTCCTAGGTAAGTAAAGTCTGGATCTGTAACAGAAAAAGAAGATAGTCATTGGGACAGATATCTTAAAGTTATACATTTTAAGACTTGTCAAAGCTTCATGTAAAAGCAATGTAAAAGAAGCTTTTATTGATATAGACTACATGCAACTAGTCAATTACAAACGTGCTTATAGAATCACTTAATGATAATACTTATACTTCACAATATCATAATTTATGCTACCAACTACCAGAAGTAGTAGCTAGTCCACTAACAGATGAACAGATAAGCCAGTGTAGCAGTGCATGCCTGTAATCTCAGCACCTGGGAGGCTGATGAAGGAGGACTGCTATGAGTTTGAGATCATCCTGTACTAAATAGTGAGTTCAAGACCAGTCAGAACTATACAACGAAACTCTGTCTCAAGATGAGGCCCAGTGAGACAGTTCAGCAGACTAAGCACCTGCTTAGGCAAGCACAGGGACTGGGGTTCAATCCCTGGTACCACATGCCAAGTCGGCCCCACCCCAAGATGTGCTGAGATGGCTATAGAGACAGGGCATGTGGTGCATGCCTGTCATCCCAGTGTTGGGGAGGCTGAAAACAGGAGGATCACTATGAGTCCGAGCTGTGTGGTGAGACCCTGCCCAATTACATTAAAAAAAGGATAAACAGGTAAATAAAATGTGGTCTATGAAGTAGAATATCATTCAGTTTTTAAAAGGCATGAAATTCCTTTTTGCTGAATCATAATTTTTTTTTATTTTGAAGAGCAAAAACAAAAGCAAAAAGAAATAGCAGAAACAATGACAGAAATAGGAAAACATATAGCAGTACATATGTTACTGATATTTAAAACAAGAATAGCTAATTAACAATGGTTACCTTATCTATTTTTATTGTCAGATCTGTTGCTCCGATTAACAAAAATAGTTATGCAAGATTGAACAAATAATTGACTATTAGTGTTTACTTTCAAGAAACCTTAACTTTTTCTTGTCTTTCGTTTTTCTTAAAATTTAATTTAATTTTGAAAAAGTTGTTTATTAAAGTTTTTTTTTAAACTTTGAAACCACAATGCTAGATTGAATCAGACACCTGAGCTTAAATATGGCATGGTTTCTTTTATACAAGAAACCCGAAGTATAAATAAATAAAATAACAGAAAATAAATCCTTCCTTAGAATGAAAAAAAAAAAAAAAAAAGGGCGACAGCTTTTATGTAAGTGGGAAGGGAACCAAAAAATAGAGAAGTAAAAAGAATTAAGTTGTGTCTATACATGTACCAAATACCACAAAGTATATAACTAATGTGAAACATGCGCACATAAAAACTTTTTTTTTCTTAAGTGGATAGTGGTGATGGTTGCAAAACACTGTGAATATACTTAATACTATTGAATTACATTCTTAAAAGTGGTTAAAAAGTAAATTTTATGTTATATATTGTACTACAATAAAAGTAAGTTTTTAAAAATTACAAACATAGGTGTCTTAAAAAAGGTTTTTGAAAGTTCAGACAGAACCTTAATATACCAAACTGCCAGAATAAAAAACTGCTGGGCAGCCTCAAATGTCTCCGAACCCTTTGTCTGGAAAACTTATTTCACACAGTTTATTATATGGAACAGTATACTCTATTCTGGTTACAACTGTCTTTAATTCGATATACCTTACAAAGTTATCAAGTTACAAACTGGGAAAATGGAATAAATTGCTAACTTAATTTTAATATATTTCAGAGACTTTTTTTTTGGAGACAGTGTCTTATGTAGTTCAGGCTGGCCTTAAACTCACTACTGTAGCCAGGCTGGCCTTGAACCCACAGCGATCCTAAGTGCTAGGAATATAGGAATGGTCCACCATGCCCTACATAGTCTATGCTTTTTTTAACTTAAACTTTTAGCAAGGAAATGTCAAAAAGCTCTAAATCCTAAATGGCACAGGGGCTGGTGGTCATACCAGCTATCTGGCAAATTAATCCTATTTTTTTCATACATAGGCAAGAATTTTAAGATATCATTATTGTGCTAATAAAATTTCTCTACTCCAATTACTAACTTTTCACCATCAATTCATTTTTCTCTAGCTATATCATTCCTTAGGGATATTTTATAAACATGATTTTAAGTAATAACAGACACAGGCATATATTAATTTTGCATATCTAACACAGTGTTTTTCTTTTATTTAATAATTATTCTGCACAATCTGCAGTATATTATAAAGGAAACATAACAGTGGAAAAACCTTGCCTAGAAAGGTGGAATCTATCTAGTCTTGGGTATGCCACTGGATAAGGTAATCATTTCATCTCTTACTTCCATATCTATAAAATAGTATATTACATACTCCTTATTACACTACCATTAATAGCATAATTTTTTTTTTCAGGGCATGGCATACTGTTATTTGAATAAATAACACAACAATACATTTGAGTAGTAAATAATGACAATAATAATAATAAACCATTAATTATTTTTTACAGAGTCAAAATAGCAGATGTATCTTGTTAATAAATATTTTGGATTTGGAAAAATCTAATAATTTATCAAAATTAATGCTTGTTTTACAACTAGATCATCTTGGTAATGCTTAAACAAGCAGGAATATTTTAACAATTCCCCAATTATTTTCACATAAAGACATTTAAC